ATTAGGAGTATCAACTAAGCCCATACTAATTTCTTATTTATTTGGAAGCTATCTGGCCTCCGTAATCTTAATATAGTATGCAAGTGATGTTTCTGATGATCTAATGGGTTACACAATCATATCATTAAGGACTTACTTATTTTTATTACTCAATATTATGTGCTACTTTTTTCATGATGTATATTTTTAGTAGAAATAGAAAAACATTTCTTTGGACAATTAATACTATAGTTTAAAACCATATGTCTCACGTTAAAATATTTAAATATTATTTCATTTTTCATATTATAAGTCAATAAATTTTAAGTGGAGATTAAATTAGTAGGATCTTTTAATTTGTATCCTTACTCTTAAGGAAATTACTGAGATGGAAGTAATTGTATAGAGCTTCAATTAAGCTCATACTTAAATTAGCTGAAAACATCTTCAATGGAGTAATTGATGAAGATGAAGTCTGGAATACTTTTGCTTATAGACTGAGATGGCAATAGTTTACATATAAAGAAAAAAGAGTTAATTAAAGGGAGTTTGTGATTAGATAGAAAAAGGGTTATCTCCTGAGTTTTTCACATAAGATTAAATACTGTCCATATATGGGTGTCTTGAAAGACTTAAATATAATTAGAAAAAATGTAAGTAATGTGAAGCTTGATGGTCGTTAAGTCATGTTTAAATCCATAGCTCTTTTCTGTTCTAAATCTTTTAAACCCTCAAGCATATTTTAACAAGAAGAATCAGACTAGTAGACTATAATCTATAGATTAAATATCTATTAATAAACACTCGCAATAAATATAAAATCTTCATTCAAGATTGAAGTTATTAGAAGAAAAAATTTCCCAAGAGAGAGTGAAGAAAAGAGTTTGATATATCATTTACTCACAAACAGAAATAAAATAATATAAGCTTCTTTATAATTATTTTATTGATATTAAATTAATTAAATTTATTAATGATCTATCAAATTTAGTTTTATTTCTTCCCAATACCTTCACTAAATTCTTCACATTTTCTATTCCATAAAAATTGTAAAATATCATCCTCTAAGGGTTACTCATGCTTCGCTTGAAAAAAATTAATAACATTTCAAGCATAAATAATTAAAAACAATCATTTAATTTAATAATCCTTAGAAAAATTATTTACCTCCAAATTAATATTAACCCTCACCTTTTAAATTCTACCAAAATTGATTGAAGGTGATGAGTTTACTATAGCATGAACCGACAGATTCTTTCAATGTAAAACTCTACATAAATGAGTGATTATTAAAATCACCATTTCTAATCTTTTTATTGATACCAAGAAGGAAAGTTTCCAGTTAAAATTAATAAGTTTCAGATTATAATATCCTGACTCCAAGGATCTCCATCACAGAGACTTCTTTAATTGTCCATCCTTATCTCTCATCATGTTTAATACCTATATATTCAGTTGATAACAACTTCAACTTACTAATATATGTTTTCATTCAAAAACAGTTTTCTATTTTTCAACTTCTTTTTCCAACAAATGAGTTTAAACTATCAATTTTTTTTAATTTCTATATGCAAATTACTATTTACAGTCATTCACAAAGTCAACATACATTTATTTGCTTAGACTCTGTGTAAAGAATTAATTATTGGCTACAGAGATCATTACTGTCTTATTATGAGATTAATACCCTGAGGTTTTCAGTCAGAAAATTCTAAATCTAATGTCATTATATTCCAGAAAGTTCTTTAAGCATGAAAAATTCCTTTAAACAATATTGGAATAGTCCAATTAATTCATTTATATATTCTTAGTTATCTAATTCTTCTCCTTATCATCCCTCTATAACTCTAACTCTCTCCAGATCAAATAACCTCCTCTCTAATTAATCATTCCTTAGATCAACCAACATCGATTCAAAAACCTTCTAATTCTTCTTTAATATTTTGTTCTTCTTGGTAAGTTTAACGAGTTACAGTTTCTGATCCTATTAAAATTATCACTTTTCTTCTTGAATATCTTGATAATAGAAGGAGAAGCTCTCTCTGGCCTAATCGATTTATATTGTGTACTTGCTTCAGTATTCATTAGGTACTTGGCCAGACCAGGAGAAACAAAAACTGTATCAATATA